CAAGATGATTCAGTGGGTGAAGGAGCCTGCCAGCAAGGCTGACAACCTGAGTACAGTCCCTGGAACCCATGTGGTGGAAGACGAGAAATGACTCCCCTGCATACTATGGCATATGCACATGTTCACGAGCGCACATGCGCTGGTACACGCATGCACACGTATTTTAAAATAAAGTAAGAGGCATGCATTTGTTCATGTGTAATATTAAGAAACAGGTACCAAGCTATGAAGAACAAGTTAGAATGTCTCAAGAAGGCTTTGGAGACTATGAAATTAAATACCAACATGAAAATTGTGCATGATACATGCACATCGGTAAATGTTCCAAGCTCTCATTAGATCGAGAAGGGTGTCCAGACCCAGGAAGTGTTGAGACTGAAGAACTCTTCAGTGTAGACTATTAGACTTAGTCTCAGAGAAAAAGGCTAACGAACTTCCCCTTATAATTGCCAGGGAGTAGATTGATCCCTTTAATGTATCATGGTACTGACAGGAAAATATCACTAGCATTGAAAGTTAGCGTTGTTTTCCAAGTATGTATAAGTAATTTAGCCATAGAAACAAATCAAAAACCCTTACCTCTGCTCTGCTACCAGCCCTTCTCTGTCCCCTATGGCCAGCTCCTGGTGAGGCGTCTGCCTGAGGCCTTGGGAACCCATGTCATTTAGTGCTGTCTGCTCTCCCACTGAGAGGCAGCTGACAGGGTGTGTGACCACGGCTGCAGATGCCTGACTGTCAGCCTCATCAGGTGCTGCTGACTGCTGGTTCCTCACCTGGTTTTGGAATTTCTTGCTCCCCTCACCAGGTGCTTCTTAGCCTCTTTCTCACCCCCTCCCTTTCCTCCTCTGGGAGAGTATCCCCAAGTATAGTCGTCCCCTCACTAATTTTCTTCTGTGTAGTAGGGACTCCCCAGGGCATCTCATTCATTCCTTCAGTTTCTCCCTCCCTTCCGTGAGGTAGGTATTTCTGAGCCTGACCTTTTAGTTCTTTTACTTCCTGGTTCAGGTCATCTCTGCTGCGCCCCTTTCCAGGTGTCCTGGTTTGTTCCCTGTTGGCTCCTGCTTTCCTCGAAATACTGCTAGTCTGACTGATGTATACTGGTGGGAGAGGCTAACACCCATGACTACAATGGAGCTCTTGCTGGTGAACTGAGCCATACGGGTGCTCACCTCTGTTCACTCTCTCCCTCCTGCCTCTAGCTGACTGCTTCCTCAGGAAGCTCCTGACTCTGCCAGACATAACACTTCCCCAAGTCCATCATCTGAGCACTCAGTTTACCCTAGAATCCGGCAGATCTGGAGGGAAGAGGAGCCAGGCATATGGCATGTGGCATTTGGGTAGTAGGTGAAAGAAGAGAAGGCAAAAATTCATCCACTTTACAGCCATCTCTGGATCTTCTCTTCTCTCCCCTTCTTCCCTAGCCGCTTCTGTTCATTGGCGGTTCTTCTGTTAGTTACCTCCTCAGCCCACAACTAGCTGCTTTTTCACGTGGTGTCGGGGGCTGGGACTTGGAGGAGCTAGCAACATATGTTAGTTTACAATGAACAATAAAACTTTCACATTGGGGGAAAAATGGGGTCAATGTACATTAAGAAAAAATGTTAATTTCTTGGAAAGGAAATATATTTAGTTCATAAACATTTGGAACTGTTTAAGGAAATGGTGAGGTTTAGTTTCAATAATACCTTAAAAATACCTTTTATTGAACACTTTTCAGAGATTTTCATCCATTGCCGATAATAGAGTAAATGAATATCTCCACATACCTACTGCCTTTTTATATAGTAAAATGGAGGTCTCTGTATATTCCTGATGGGTGCCCCTTTGGAGTATAACTAAGTCACTGGAGTCCTAAAATGTTTATTCCCTTTGACTCCACAATTTTGTTTTTGAAATTTTAACGCAAAGGAAGCTTCAGCATGAAGAATCTTTAGGTGCAGAGATGTGTACTCAGTATCATTTACGCTCCTGTCACAGCAGTGACCACACAGAAACAGCCTGTCTGACTGCACAGGAGTGTCCAATCGACTGCAGTCTGCAGGCCCGGGCAAATAGTGTGAATCTGGTGAGAGCATCTGGGAAAAAATAGAAAACTGTGGTATCGAATGTTAAATGGCAACCGTAAGATAAAATGGTTCACATGATGTATTATAGGCTTACACACAGTAGCAACTAGAAAGAAGCCCAGGCTAACATTAGCAGGGGAGAATGAGAATCTTATTTCTTCTCTCTTTCATCTGTGCTCTAATGTCTTCGGAGAAATTTTAATTAAAGTAACTTAGAAAAACAAAAATCTGTCTCCTTGATAGAGTCTGGATTTAGCAATAACAATGAAATGACAGGCGGTAACAGAAAAGCAGGGGCTGTGCTTTGCTAATTAGTATGGCACATATTTGAGAGCAGGATTCAGGCTTGCGTTGTGGGTTCAGATCCACATATCACCCCACGTGTGTGACGTTGGAGAGGTTGTTCCAGTCTTTTAATCTGCAGAATGCACAGGGCAGCACACATTGCTGGCTGGATTGAATGTGCACAGGGAACTGGGCACTTAGGAGCCGCTCCAGCCGCTGCACTGTTGCCACCTCAAGCCCAGAGCTGGGAGGCGCTCCAGGGGTGCTGCGCAAGCCTGATGCCCTGAGTTCTGTTCCCAGCACCCACATAAACACCAGGCACGGAGACCACATCTGTAACTGCCGTGCTCGGGTTGGTGGTAGAGGCAAACAGGTTCAAGAGTTTGCCAGCTGTGCAGTCTAACCGAAACGGTGGTGAGAGATCTATCTAAAAAAAAAAAAAAAAAAAAGCTGGGTGTGATGGCAGGCGGATCTCTGTGAGAGCTCGAGGCCAGCCTGGGCTACTGTTGAGCAAAGTTTTACTTACTTGGCTTTTTGGGGGCCTACCACCCAGATCCCAAATAAATCACACTCCGAGACTCAGAGGCTCATTCTTAATAAAGAATGCCTGACCTTAGCTTGGCTTGTTTCTTGCCCACTTTTCTAACTTAAATTATCCCATCTACCTTTTGTCCCTGGACTTTTTCCTTTTCTTACTTCTGTATCTTACTTTCAATCTTACTCCGTGGATGGGTGGCTGCCCCTAGCATCATCTCTCCTCCTTTTCTTGCTCCTTCTCCTCATCCAGCGTTCTCCTTCTGTTTATACTGCCTGCCAGCCCCGCCTGTCCTTGCTCCTGCCCCGCTATTGACCATTTAGCTCTTTATTAGACCATCAGGTGTTTTAGACAGGCAAAGAATCACAGCTTCACAGAGTTAAACAAATGCAGCATAAACAAAAGTCACACACCTTAAAATAATATTTCCAACAGTCCACATAGCAGAATTCCAGGCCAGTCAGTCCTTAAGACAAACAAACATAAATAAGTAAACAAGATAGAGTGCAGTTAGAAGATACCTGAGGTTGACCTCTGACCTCACACGCATATACATGGTGTGTCCATCCTCCCCGTCCCCCCCACATCAACCTGGCAAGTCACTTGCTGGGTCACCTTGACAATTACTTCTGCAAGCCTTGTTTGACTTCTTTGTTTTTTAGTTTGTAAAGTGGCAGCAGACCACTGATTCCAAGTTATTGGGAGAATTTAATGAAGTCAAGCCAGAAGCTTGGTGTACATAACGGGTGCAGGAATGGAGAAGGGTGTGGAAAGCTGATGCAATGGTTGGTTTTGTTTTCCCATGAGTTTATTTGTAACATTGAGAAGTAGAGAAGTGAGCAGGGGTGGGAGGGCTGACTGGAGGTGAGTAAGCCAGTGCTGAGGGCATGCATGTCTCTGCCCTGACAGCTACGGTAGAAATGAGTGGTGTCTACATTCGCTCTGCAGTGTTCAGAGCACCTGTGTGTGCAGTGACTGTGACGTCAGCAGAGAACCTGTCCTCAGCCTCAGTACCGCTGCTTGACGCCTTCCCAGGACTCCCTCACGTACATGGATGGTGACTGCTCTGCTGCTCTCCATGCGGCTGTTTTGATTGGTCCTGGAAAATGATGCCTTGCTGTTTTAGGAATGCAGACTCTCGTTACCCCAGGGTGGTGAAACACTTGTATATAGGATTTGGTATTTCCAGCGAGTTCCTAGTGCTGACAGCTCATGGACCACACTGAGTCGCAGGGGTCTAGAGTATTCTCAAGCTAGTTCTTGGGCTCTGTGTGCCATTCAAGGAGTGGAAGATGAAGTGTGGTCTTTGTGTGTCTCCAGGGAAGTTGTCTAAGACGCACGGCTTAATGTAAATATGGCAAAGGTTTCGTGTTCTGATGTAACCTGCTGTAACCTGTTTAATCCACCAACTAGTCTTCAAAATTCTGAGGTACAGTTTGAGAACATGGTATTCTGGAAGTTGCTAATTGGCAGACTGACTTGGAGAAGTGGGAGGGAGAAGAGATGCCTCTTGAGGGTCGCATGTCAGTGCATTGGCAGCTCAGCAGTTGGCGTTTGCAGCAGTAGAACACCGCAGTGCAGGTGAAAGCCGTAAGTCCTTCACTAAGCTAGAGGCTGGACATAGGATATGTAGGGAGTGTGGACTCAAATCTGCTGCATTTGGCAGAAAAGTGGGAGAGGAGTATGTGGGCTGATGTTCACGTTGTTGACTCTGCAAGCAGGCTTCACCTTGAGACTGTAGAAAGGGGCCTTTTCACTTTTAAAGGTGTGCAGTAGGTATTGGGGCAATATCCTGGGGTTTCAGAGAGAAACCTAGCTGAAGCTCCATGTGTCAAAAGCATAGTTCAGCTCTTCAGAGTGTTCTCCAAGTGAGAAGAGACAAGCTCCAGGTACAAGCCTAGGAGCCTGGCAGGGAACATCTAGAGAATGGGTGGCGTGGCTTTTTATTTCCCTTTTAAAATGTGTAACAGTGATATCCAAATAAGGCCACAGTATTCAGTGTCTGGTGGTGGAGCGCAGCCTTTGACTCTTTGTTACTGTGTGATGGCCACTTGCTTACTGCTTTCTTCTGTGATGGCCGCTGACTCACTGCTTTCTTCTGTGCATTTTTAAAGGTCCTTAAAATTCTGGTCAGAGCAGTGGTTAATGGTCTGGCCGATCGAAGTGGAGACGTTGCCTCCAGCCTCAAAGGCAAGCTGCAGGAGTTGTTTGGCAGAGTGACCTCAAGAGTGACCAGTGATGGAGAAATCTGGAGACTGTATGCCCAAGTACATGGAAATGGGCAGAGCGGCCAGCCTGAAGAGAATGAGAAGGTTGGTGCTGGGCCTGTCCGTCCTGTGCCCCTGCCCCAGATGGAATAATAATAGCTCTGCTTTTTCTTTACTTGTTGGGGTTTGGTTTTTTGTTTTGTTTTGTTTTTGTTTTTTTGTTTTTCTTTTTTGAGTGAAGGATGAAATCAATAACCTGAAACAAAACTAATGCTTAAATACAGTGTATGTGTGTGTGTGTGTGTGTGTGTGTGTATACATGTGCATACCATAACAGGTACCATCTACCTTTGGATACAGGCTCTCCTCTCCCACTGGTTTGGAATTTACCAAGAGAATTTATCCAGGGAACCCCAGGGGTCCCTGTCTCTGCCTCCCCAGTGCTAGAATTACAAGCGTGTGCTGCTGTGTCTGTCTTTTTTTATTTTTTATTTTCCCTTTTAAACATGTGGTTCTGGGGATTGAACTTAGGTCCTTGTGCTGACAAGGCAAGTACTTTATTGACTGAGCCCTCTCTCCAACCTTCAAATTCCCCCTTACGTGCTTTGAATTATGGGCATGCTAAGACTTACAACATCCATCTTTTACGTTTCATGAGTTTTCTGTAGAAGGGTCCCTGTTCTGCAGCGCCTGATGCCCGGTGCCCTTCACTCGTACTCTTTCCACAGGCGAGTGGTTAAGGACAAAACAGAAAGAGTGTGTAGATCTGAGATGCAGCTGCAAAAGAGAAAACATTAACCTGGAGACAGGAGCAGGAAATTGCAGTGCTCGTATGGCCCCTCGCAGGGGCACCCTGCCCTCCTGCCAATCCCGCTCCAGTGGGGCCCAGTGGAGCCCTGAGTTTCCAGGGTTGGAATCATTGTGTTGTGTTTCTTTTCAAAAGAGCACAGAAAATCAGATGAACTCCTTGCGTGGGTTTGGAATTAGCCACGGTCCAGCTAATCTGTGGGATTCTTAGCTGTTCTCTCCTCCGCCTTCTGTCCACACAGCTGGTTTCTACCACGGCCTTGTCAGCCCACAGAACACATATCTCATGCACACATGCACACACTCCTACTCTGTGTCCTTCCATTTCTCCTGAATTGTGTACTCTTTAGAAAATAAGAACACTCTTGGCTGTGACGTCTCCATCAGCAATTTTTAAGATGAAACAAAAGAACATTTTAAACATCTATGAATGTTTGGCCAGCCCATAACTTTTACCCAGTTCATGCCTTCCTTATTCTCTTACTGCGTCTCTCAGCTTGGTGGCTGGAGGAAATCTGTACTCTGGCCTCCCTGGTGTCCTGATTCTGGGAGTGGTGACTGTCCAGATAACATCCTTGGTTCTCAGAGTTGTTTGTTGCTATTGGATGTGCATCCTACCCCCTTTTTGATGGTAATTATAGAGATGCCTCACCATACAAATGCTTGCTTTCAGTTTGGAATTGGTTTCATATGACTTCCAGAAAGCAATTTGAAATGTGAATTCATCTTGTTATTTTGAATGTTGTTCTTTCTGTTTTCATAGGCATTCCAGTGTCTCTTGAAGGCATACAAGTGTGATACACAGACCAATTGTTGGGAGAAAGATGTTACAGCGTTTAAGGAAGTTGTTCAGAGAGCCATAGGACTCGCACATGGTATTCGATATTCATATCGTATTTTAATGCATTCTTCATTTATAAAATAGTGTTATTCAAAAACCAGGTTCCATTACAGATACTTTCTGATTGCTCCAATATATTGAAATAGTTGTATTTAGTTCAGAAACATTTCTAGAACATCTGTTATATAGTAGACACATAATAATAGACACCTAAGATAACTCAGGACAGAGGCTTCAATGCTGCTTGAGTAAGTGACAGAACCCAGTTAGAACTTGTAAGAGTGTAAAATATTTTTACTCCCAAGAAGCCTTTAGTCCACACAGAGTCTTTGTTGATTATGTTGTATTGAGAAAAATCATTAGCATTTCCTTAACTGACAGAGTGCCAAGAAAGAATCTTCAAAACGTGCAGCTCTCTGGAGTACTTACCATTCTTTATATTTTTATACATATATAAAAATGCAAAGTATAATACCTGTCTTTGGGAAATTTAGAGTCTATAATTTGGAGGGGAGGTAACCTTTTCTATAATAAAACATTTGTTTGTGAGATAAGTATAGTTCAGGCTTAAACTCTCTCGCATTACTAAAAAGTGCCAGCTAAATTCAGCAGTGCATTGCTCTATTGGTAATTGAGTGTGGGGGTGAATTACTACTCCCATTGTGGGCCTCCTGCCCCTGAGAATGACAGCAAACGGGAGCCAATGAGGAGCAGTGAGAAGACAGAGCTCTGGAACCAGGGCACTAAGCTCCAGGACCGCTGTTACTACATGCTTGCTGAGTGATGCTGAGTCAGCAACTTAGTGTCTCTGGGCCTTTGTTTGGTTGCAGGTAGAATGGGAGAATAGTTACCTGTGCTGCTAGGAAGAGTCAGCACGATCTTTCCAATACGTCACAGTATTTTACCTGTCGTTTACATGTAGATCTCTCGCACCCCCACCCTGTTTCTTCTGAGGTAGAGAATCTGGTCCATGAGCAACTCCAGAAGAGAAAAGTGAGAGAGGGAATAAAGTTTAACTGTGTAAAGGAGTCACAGGCTGTTCAGATGTGCAGAATGGGCTTAGTAGTTAGTAATTCTACTCATGGCTTTCAGACCTTTGTCGGGAAGAATATAAACATCCAGTTTCCTGGACCACCTAACTACTGGCTGGAAGGGAGAAAGTTAGAGGTGATTACAAGACTGCTTTGCAGTTTATGGTTGCAATTCTATGGCCTGTGCTGGCCTTGTGGTAGGGGAAGCCAGAGGGGTTTGGTTCTTTGCCTTTGGCCTTTGTGAACGTGGGGAGCTCCACGGATGTGTATACTTCACAGGGTGGGGTTTACTCTGAAGAATCTTCCTTTAACTTGCCCTCTCTGAACATCTCTGTGAGCACCCAGCTCTGTGATGGTCAGACAGAGAGAGTTTCAGTAGTCACCAAGCGTGGTTTTACACCTGTCCACTGTAACTGCAGGTCAGAGAAGTACCCCAGAAAGCCTGCTTCTGACAGCTTGGCACAGGTTTGAACTGTTGTTGGCACCCATAGGGTGACTGGTGGAGAGGAACAAGTGTCTGTTCTCTGGGGTCCGCACTTGATTGGGGTATGTGTTACATTCCCATTCTGCAAGCCTGCCTGAGTGTAGATGGTTCAAATTGATCTTAACCCCACCTTTGCTGCATTGTCCTTTGTGCTCCCTTCCCTTCTTTGTCTTCATCTCCCTCCACCCCAGACTCTGTTCCTTCACACACACCCTTTTGAAAAGGAAATATGGCACTTTATAAATCTTGGTGCCTGTTGGATTGCCAAAGATAAGCTTTGCCGTGGGCCTCAGCTGATAAGGACAACAAGGCAGTCCCGGAGTACGGAGACCTCTGCCCTGGTGCTGCCCTTGGTTCTTTGTATCATCGGGAGGATGGTTATTTCCAGTCTCTGCAGTTCTTCCTCCCTTTCCCTAGTCCTGTCCGTCCCCCACCCCCCATCTGAATGCCTTCTGGGAGTGAGATAGGAACTAATAGAATGTGGGTCCTTTTTGTTTCTTCAAATTGAATAAAGTTTGTTTTTTTGTTTTTTGTTTTTGGAGACAGGGTCTCTCTGTATAGTCTTGGCTGGCCTGGAACTTAGTCCTGAGTGCTAGAATTAAAGGCATGCACCACCATTGCCTGGCTTAAAAAATGAAGGACTTAAGAACTGGACCCACAGGTGCTTCTGGTATAAACAACTAGGCATTAAGCAAATGTCATACCTCTGCTGTGGTAGAGGCAGTTCTTCCTCCAGAGAAATAATCCTCAGTGTCTGATCGGCTGGGCCTCTGAACATGGGCTTAAAGTTAATAATCAGTGTGCACCCACCATGAGGCTATTGAAGTCTGATCATTATTCTGAAATAAATGCATCAAACCCATTTCCAGTTGGCCATAGATACTATTAATTAATGCAAAGCAGTCTTGTCAGGCCATAGGTTGTTTCTTCCGATTGCTTACAGTTTGCACCTGTGGTCTATGAAGTTGTAGTTATAAAATAGGATCTGCTTTTGAATTTAGTGAATATAATTTCTTTTAGTCTGTTGTTTTATGCATGGATGCTTTTCTGCATGTCTGTCAGTACACTGTGTGAGTCTACAAGAGGGCATTAGATCTCCTGAAACTGGGTTCCGTATGGTTGCGAACCACTATCTGGGTCTGGTAATTGAACCCAGGCCCTCTGGAAGAGCAAGTGCTCTTAACCCTTGAGCATCTCCCTTCAGCTTGTGAGCATAAGCTTTAAACATGGAAAGATCCCAGGCGCCATTAGTGTGGAAGTCTTCACTTGTTCTTACTAGGCGTTCGCAGCCAGCCTTCCTACAGGGAGGCGTATACTTGCTCCCTTCAGAACTATAAGTCTTAGAGGAACAGGCTCCCCAGAGTGCTGGAGGCAGAGTTTCTAGGAGCCAGCGCTTTCCCTCTGAGCTGATACCAGATGTGGCCCGGGAGCTCAAGTACCTGGCCTTGGTCACAATGCCTAAATGAAGACATGTGGATTGTTGATGCCAGTTCTCCCAGAATGCTATAAAATTGATATAAAAATGCAGCAAGCATTTGAGCTTGGCGCATCTGGCTTGTCACTTTGTGGGCCAGTGAGATCAGCAACCATGAGTCCTTAGTGACTTGGGACCGTGGACAGCCACACTGAGATGTGCAGCATCAGTTTTGATCCTCTGAGTGTGCCTTCCTTTCGATTAGGGTTTCTTTTCTTTCCCAATTCACTGCTGTGCACATTTGTATGCGTGTGTATGTACCTGTACATACATATGTGGGATCCCTGCCTAATGTAACTCATCTAATGTAACACACATTTTCTTCAAAATTCTCCTTAGCCGTGTTTGCCTATTTAAAGAAGGATGAAGGATAACTGGAGTGTAACTCAGTGGTTGACAGGTGCTTGTCCTGCATGCTCAGGCCTGGGTGTGAATTCCCAGTACCACCAAGCAGAAGGCGAAAGGAGGGATTAGGGGTGTGAAACTTGTAAAGTTGAGTATTGCAGATGTGTAGTAAACAGCTGCTTTTGAGCCCTGGATGATCAGCTCTAGTGTGCTCCCTGTGTTTGTTTTGCAGTGGCTATGAAATGCAGCGAGAACAAGTCCAGCCCCCAGGAAGCTGTGCAAGCACTGTCTTCAGTTCGGCTCAGTTTACGTGGTTTGTTATCCAAAGCAAAGGTGAGAATGACCTGAGTTCATCAGAACTGTTTTTAAAAAGGTTCTTCTTATTAAATCCCAGTGGATCATTCAAAACCAGGAAGGATTGCTTCTGCACATCTCCTTGAAAACATGTTTTAATCGTTTTGTATCAGAAAAAAAGAAAAAATACCTTTTGTAGTTTTGAATTGGGTTTGCTAATCTGAATTGCACTTTAGAAAGTGAAAATGAGTAGAGCTAACCTTTAAAGCTTGAGCAATCTTGGTTTGTACAAGTCTGTCTTCTGTCTTCGGAAAATAGGATGGAGAGCCCCCCACCTCCAATTAAACGAAGAACTGTCTTATCAATACAGATAACACTCAGAAATGGTAAATTTGTAGGAAATTTAAATGGACTCTCACAGGTCTTTCAGGCCACATCCTCTCGGGGCAGAGTGACCCCTCTGTCGTCAGATCCTTGTCATCGTACAGGTCGCTGCCAAGGTTGTCATGAGGGCTGTGGGTGGAGCTGTGAGTCAGATTTGCTGCTCACCAGCTTTTTCATTCTTTGTAAGCCTCAGTTTCTCTCTGCTCCTCCTTACCTCGGTGAGAAGGAATGCAGGTCATCGTGAATTGTAAGCACTGTGATTCCTATTGGAAATGCGCTGTGTGTTTAGGTTCTTTACCTAAAAGATGTATTTTCTACTCAGCACACTGCAGCAATAGTTAAATCAGTCTGTTAGGAAATGCTGTTCGACAGTACAATCTACTCAGCTTGGATGAGAATAAATCATATGTCATAGCGAGACACATGAACATGTGTGCAACCTACCTCTCCTCCCTGCCCATGTATGGGTGTAAAATCCTGAAGCTGTAAAATCTTGGTTGCCCGGTTCCTGACTCACCAGGCAGGCACAGAAATAGAATTTTGTTTAGATGAATGATGTCCATTCATCCAGATACCATGATCGTATAACAGTGACAAAAGCAGTCAACATGTAAGGCAGTTGCCATGAAGAACAAAGCGAGAGGCTCAAGGCCTAGGGCACTAGGCAAGCGCTCTGCCTCTGAGCTAAAGCTCGAGATCTCTTGAGTCCCTGAGGCCAGGCACACTGTTTAGATTTGTTATTCTTAGGCATGTACCTTTTTGGGGTCTAAGCAAACACTGCCTTGCTGCTGTACTGTTGGTGGTAGCGTCATGCCAACAGCACTGGATGCTATGTTGCTGTGTTGATTCCATGCTATATCTAGACTGCTTGGAAGAAATTTTCATCTTTTGATGGTCATATTGTTTCACATTGCAGCAGAATTTTACAGATGTGGCAAGTGGAGAAGTCTCTGGAGAGCTCGCCCAGGAACTAGCAGCTCTGAATGCCCTGGAGGCCGAACTGCAGGACCTCAGCAACCATCTTCGGAACCAGTACTGACTGTGCTAGGGACAGCTGCCAAAGGCACCTTTGCCTTCTCGGATTCCTCCGTACCTGAGTATCTGAAACACAAGATGCTGATTTTTAAAATAAATTTGTTTGCTGGCAAACAGGCGTATTTTGTGCTGTTCTCAGATCTTTGCAGTTCTAAAGTTCATTAAACAGAAAGACTGTTTGTACTCTTGTCTAGTTATTGGTAAGTTAAGTGTCTGCGTTCTTGAGGTACTCCAGCACAAGGGGCCAGCACAGGGATCATTCTTGCTCAGCCTACCATGAGTGCATCATTCTTTGGAAAAACTTGTATAAATGTTTGGGGGTTGGGGCACCCTCAGACACTACAAGCTTGTGGAATCATTAGCTTGGCTACATTACTGTCCAAAAATGATAAAAGAGCGGACTTGGCAGTGAAGACATTTACACTTGTTGAGATTCTGTGTCACAGGCACGGGCTTGTCTAAGTTGGAAGTGTGAGTGTGGTTTAACTTCCAAACTAAGAAAATGCAAGAAAAGAAATGATACACCCAAATTACAACTCCATCGTTAGCCACTAGGAAGCAGGCTGTTAGCTCTTTATGGTATATACTGCCAGCCCCAAAGAGGTTGCTTAATAAGATACAAGTGGTGCTGCCATATAACAGAAACGCCAGAGTGAAATTCTTTCTTAGTAATGTCAGTGGTAGCAAATACTGAAGGTGGCGGCCGAGCTTAATACTCAGAGTACAAAAGTCAACGTGAGGAATTGTTAGGCTCCTGACTTGAGTTGCTCAGTTTTGGGTCCTATGTGCAAATCATTTGCCCCTTGTGTTTTTCCATGTTCTTATTTATAATATGTAAAGAATTCCTACTCCGAGTCACTGATTTCAGCGGTCTTTGGAATTTAATGTTTCATGATCCATCACCATGAAGTAGTCTGAACACTTCTAAGGTCTTTAAAAACTTCTTTCATAAATGGATTTACTTATGGATGCGAACACTCTAGTCCCTTAGCCATCTGCTTCTCTTTTCTGCTGTCATCCCAGCCTTCACAGGCAAGACACAAAGTAGGCCCCAAGGTTTCTCCTGTAAAAGACAATAGTACTTTTTAAAAATTCCAATAAGGTGAGGTGACAACAGGAGTTATTATTTAGGGTCTGCTCGAATCTTTTAGGAAAGTTATTGAGGACTGGGTGGATGGATGAATAGTGGGGCTGATGGTGGGTGACCATGGATGGTGGAGCAAGGTTTTAAATGAACTCTTTGTCAGTGCCCAGCTGGGAACCCCAGCTCGTAAAAGAGGAATGGGTAGGAGAGAAATGCCCCCAAAGACAAGGGTTTCTGAAATCGAGTGAAAGGCTCAAGTTCTCGGTTTATTCTCCTTTGAGTTCAAGGTAGGCTGGACCCATGGTTGGAGCAGCTTTCTCCATGGTTGTGTTGACTTACAGCCTCTCTGTTGTCATGGGGTGTTTTCTCAAAAGAGAGCTTCCTTTCCGGGGTGTAGACCACAAGCAAAAGGCATGTGGCATGGTGATCAGCTCTTACCTTGTTTCAGTTTCTGTAATAAAGATAGCTCATCAACTGTATCAATTGTCGAAGAGTCTCAGTGTTTCGTGTCCATCTGTCTTAGCTCCAGATGTCTTGATTTTTGTACTTTTAACCTTGGTTTTCTAGTATTAATGCCTGTTTTTCAGAATCATTCCTTTGCTTTGTCAGCTACAAGAATAGAAAGGATACGAATCCACAGCCATAAGTCGCTGAATTCTTACCATACCCTGGCTATCACCTCTCACTCTCAGAGCCCTGTCCCGTCAGCTTGTGGTATCTCTAAGACACTTAGGGTCGCTAGCTCTGGTTAGAGAAGTAGACACATCCCAAAGGCTGAGTTTCCCTTGCTGCCTGTACCGGATCTCCCCATAATCCGCTGATTTATTGTCTCTCTTGAACAGTGGGCTACCTTGACAGTTTGCCTTTCTTCACTCAAAGTTCTTCAAGAGAAATTCTGTAAGGTCTCAGTTGATAATAGTGTATGATTTGTTAGAATCACTAATTAATAAATTCCCGAAGAGGAGGCATAGTAACTGAGCCCTTAAGTACAGAGGAGTGAAAATGACCCCTTTTCAGTACCCAAAGCCAAACCTGAGGTTGCTTAGAGAGCTGCTGCTGAGTCTGGGAGACAGAGCTGTGGATGGGGAGGGGTGTGGAGGGCTCGGAACTACAGAGCCCTATAGACTATTCTGGCTCATTTAAGGGTGGAGCCCTTGGTCCTACTACAGGTGAAGCTTCACATGGTCGGGAGATCCCCAAGCATTATGGGAAATGACTGACTTAATTGTGTATCCAGACCACTCTTCCCATGCTGCCTTTGTTTTTGTTGGCTGCTCTATTAGTGCCATTCATTCACAGAAATAAATGTTGCAGCAATCCGCCTGTCTTCCAGGCCGAGAACCCACAGGGCCAGTTAGCTGGGGCTATTCGGGACCATTTACCCAGTTAGCTGGGGCTATTCGGGACCATTTACCCAGTT